GTTGTGAAGAAGTTCACACAATTTTCACACTTTTCTCTTTTAGTCTACACGCCATTGTAATCCGCAATAATTGTACGCATTTTTTATAGGAATCTTTAAAATTTTCCATCCTCACCCCTTCTATACCCCCCCCCCCTTCACCCTTATCTAAACTAACCGCGACTTACAATGAAGATATGGAATTAGAAAATGAAATATGAAGTCTGACTTTATTGTATCTAGCATTAATTTGATCTTTGAAATAAAATGGGATTTGTGTTATTTTGTTATTTTTTTGTTTACTTTTTTGGTACATTTTGTTATGCTTTCTATGGTATTTTTTCTTATATTTTGTTAGGTTTTGTTTTTTTTTGTTTTTTTTTTGTTATGTTCTGTTATGTTTTGTTATGTTTTGTAATGTTTTGTTATGTTTTGTTATGTTTTGTCATGTTTTTTTATGTTTTTATTTTTTGTTATTTGTTATGTTTTAATTAAATCATTACACATGCTTTGTTAATTTTTCTTGCACGACAAACACATAGTTTAAAGGGACTGTCCTTGGAAATTCAAGTGACCCTCCATTTAAAGATGGAGATCCCCGATTCTATACGATATGCCTTTCCCTGTTAAGTAGTAAGGAGGACATTGTTGTTTTGTAGCTTGAAATTACTAGATTCTTACAATTTATTACATTGTTTCTGAAAGCAGTATGTGCGCACTTTTAAAAGAGAAATCACAATTAAAAATATTCAATTTTCAAAGAGAAAAAAATAACTCGTTCATTCTTGATCACACTAAGCTTTTAGGGGTACTCTTTTAAATTGGACATACCATTTAATAAATAGATGCTCACTCGAAATCACGTTATACAGTCCCTTTAAAATTCAATATTTTCTATCCTTCCATATTATTTGTTTACATTAAACTATATCTCACTAAAACTGGATTATAGAACATATCAAGGACAAAACTTAAATGACGATAGAAAACTTATCAAATTTCAAAGATTAAAACTTTTACATAAATAGAAAATGATCTTCTAAATGCTTATGAATACCAACACAAAAAAAAAACAAGTTTAAAGCAGAAGAGAAACCAATGACTTTTACAAAAAAGTAAAAAATTGTGATTCAAATATATAAATAAATATAATTTCATGATCGTTTAAAAAAAATTCATTAGGGTTTAAAACTTGTTGTATGTCTTGAGTTATTTTACGCGTATTTTACTAAGGAGTTTTCCTTTTGAATTCTGAACCAGAAATATCAGGATATAGATACTAGATAGATAAGCCGGTTATTTAACATTTATCTAAATTTATAGGAGTGTACTGTATACTGCCTTAACTGCATACTACATAGTTAAGTTAAGGTTAAGTAAAACCCATGGGGGCGAAAACGTCATGTGTGTGTCTGTTCCAAAAGAGTGTGTGAAAGTAATACCGAACCGAAAGTGTGTCCTGTAGGTATATACAGTAAATAAAAATCTCGGTATTTGTACAGTCTAGGAGAGTATACATTTGTTTATTGTTAATTTTTTACTTAGAAATAAGTTTAATATACATGTAATATATTAATATATTATTTCCTGTTGAAATTAAGCAGTCCAAATCTTAAAATATTTTTAAATCTGCCTCTAAAGCCTATCTTCTATATATAAATTTGGCTTGTCTGGGTGTCTGTCTGTCTGTCTGTTTGTTTGTATCCAATAAACGTCAAAACGGCTGAACCGATCGGGCCCAAATTTTTTGTGGGACATCTAGGGACCCCAGGGAAGGTTTATGAAAAATCAAAATTTCAAATATTTGTCTCTATCAAAATTCAATCGTCATTAAAATTTTAAAAATTTTGAAAATCCGCGAAATTTTTTGTAAAAATCCGCGAATTATTTTTGTTTTGTTTTACGATGTACACAAAGAGAACATGTTCACAACTAATTTAGAAGATGGGCGCGAAGCGCCCTCTAAGGCTAGAAAGAAGGGCGCGAAGCGCCTTGAATTTCTAGTATTGATAAATTACAGGGGTTCACTTGTGAAAGGCTATTGTGTCCTTGTTGTTTAAACACTAGATAATTAGATTTTAAAATTCCAACCTTTCATGTATGTACATCTCTTTCTTCACCAAAACTTAAAAACTTGAATGTTATGTATATTCTGATATACATTATCTCTTTGCAGTATTAAAAATGGGATATGTCTTCCTTCAAACATTTCAATCATTTTAATTATTCTTAATTAAATATTTGTAATGTTTGTTACTGTATTGGTTTGATAGAGCTGAGCAATGTATTGTTTATTATCATGTTTATTTATATTTTCTGCCACCCCACCTACTCGTCCTTTCTTCCAGGTTCCCCCCCCCCTGTCAGTAAGCTATAGGGAAAATTATGAAAACCTATCTATCTATCTATGTGATATTTATATTGTATAAATTTTAATCTTCGTGCAATAAATATTTGATTTGATTTGATTTGATTTATAAGCCAAATTTTCATGCAAAAAATATAATTAAGTTACAAACTGCAACAAACTTCTCGTTATTCAGCTTAATTACAATTGGCGACATTGTTCTGCAATTTCCTTGACTGTAGTCATGTGTGTCTGCACCAAAAGAGTGTTAGTGTGTGATAACGAACTCGTCTGTAAAGCAGTGCGACTGGATTCTCATGCCAGACCAGCGCCATTTCCCTTCCATTTATTCTTATTCCCTGGAAAAAACGTCTACGTCAAACTAATGTAAAATAAACGTAAGTTTGAAATATTATATCTTTTCAATCATATCTTCTCTCATTGATGAACTATTAAAGGGACCGTTCACTTATTTGGGTAATTTCAGGGTAAACTAAACAGCCTATTCGCTGTTGATTGGTAATAATCTTACTTTTCAAAGACAACTGTTATTTTAGAAATAGAAAGTTAAAAAACAAAAAAATTTTAAAAAAATTATGACATTTACAATTAACGATTAGATCAAATAGTATCTACAGTGAGGGACCGTCCCTTTCCGCTCAAATTCTAAACGAAAAATCGGCTTTTTCTCTGGCCACAGTTGTCTTTAAAAAGTAAGACTATTATGTATTACCAATCAACAGCGCATAGGCTGTTTAGTTTACCCTGAAATTACCCAAATAAGTGAACGGTCCCTTTAAGAAGTAATAAAAATGTTTCGAATTTCTGATAAATATCCAGTATCCAGTATCCAGTATCCAGTATCCAGATAAAGTTGGAAATTCTAATATTTACACTGGCCTTCTGTCTAGTTTACAGTGCGTCATTATATACTTCATTTAAATAATATGTTACCAATACAGACAATACGCAGTGCACTGAACATTTCTATTATCCCGTCAGGAAGATATCAAGGTGTCATAAATATTTTTCTCAATACTTCTGTATATATATTTTCCTTGTCTGTCTGTCTGTTTTTTGTTTGTTTGTATCCAATAAACGCCAAAAAGACTGAACCGATCGGGCAAAACATTTTTGTGGGGCTTCATATGTCCCCAGTGAAGGTTTGTAGGTGATCAAAGTTTCAAAAATTTGCCTCTAACAAAATTCGACTTTTGAAAATTTTGAAAATCCACGAAATTTTTATTTTACAATTGAATCAAAGAGAAAGTGTTTACAATTTAAATAGAAGATTGGCGTGAAGCGCCCTTAAAACCTTGCATATATAAACTTGTATATTTGTATGTTTATTGACTGATAAGGATCAAGAGATCTGAAACAATTTGTATTAATAAATATGAAAACTGAGAAGCTGTTCTGATTATTGCTTTATAGTTATATATACAGTGAAACCCTTAATAACGAATACATCGAAGGAATTCATCAAATGTCGTATAATTACTTTCTGATAATGGAATGTTGCAGATATTTAGTTTTTTATATGGTACTCTTTAAAACTGTTCCTGCATATTCATGGCTATTTATTTAATTTCTCAAATACTGAAATTTACGTAATATAGTATCTCATTGAAAAATTGTTTAGACGACATTTAATAAATTCTTCCGATGTATTCGTTATTAAGGGTTTTACTGTATATATCTTCTTCAAAATAGGTCTAGAACATGATCTATTGTTTATTAAGATTGGTTATTGCTGGACACAAAAAATTAAATTTATTTCTTCCTTTTAAAAATCGATTTATGAAATTTTTTTTTGAAATTCTATTATTTTAAAAATTTCACGGGGAACGCCGGATACTTTAGCTAGTATTAATAGGAAAGAATTCTAATATATACTAATCCTTTAGTGTCAATTAAATTATGGAATTTAAATAATTTTATGACACAAAAGGATTAAATTCAATGTGTTTAATACAAAATATGGGGAAAAATTTAAAACTTTTTGAGAAGAGCTCCCTCCCGAAACCGGATTTAACAATTTAGAAATTCTTAATATTTCAAATCAATGTAAATTCCACGTCAGGTTTTCAATGTGAGTTTCTTTTACTGTAGCATAAAACAAGTTTTGAATTTCGAAAATTCAAACAAATTCTTTTACTTTTCTTATACTTGGACGCAATACCAAAACTAGAAGGCACAAGGTATGAAAGTCATACCAGTAATTTTATTTTTACAATAAACGCCATATTGCTAACACTGATTCTTTATTTTCTTTCTGATTCTGTCTCTTTCGTATTATAAATAATATTTTTAGAAAGAAACGAGCTTATTATAGTGATAATTATATTTCATCATTAACTTTTTAACAATTATTAAATTGATTAATTAACTATATATAGCATTAAGGTTTAAGATATTATATACGATGGCATTTGATTTTAGTATAGACATTTGATATCTGTCGTCGAAATTATATATGATGGTAAATATATTGGTAGATATCAGGATATATTTGATATCTATCGTCGATATTATATATGATGGTAAATATATTGGTAGATATCAAGATATATTTGATATCCTACGTCAATATTATATATGATGGTAAATATATTGGTAGATATCAGGATATATTTGATATCCATACGTCGATATTATATATGATGAGTTAATATATTGGTAGATATAACGATATATTTGATTTCCCTACGTCGATATAAACACATTATGGAATAACAACGAAGACCTAAATATAAATGAATTGTTCCTTTAAATATTGTACTATTGCATGGTTTCACTTTTCTTCTTGCTTAATGGTCACTTTAGTCTATATGTGTTCATTGCGGCAGGATATATATTACACCTTGGCAGCACTCTCTTGTCAGTTATTAGTTGATCTTCTTGTTAGCAATTAGATGTTCTTTTTGTCAGCTATTAGATGTTCTTCTTGTCAACATTTGGACTATCTTCTTGTCAACATTAAGATGATCTTCTTGTCAACATTTGGATTATCTTCTTGTCAGCGATTAGATGATCTTCTTGTCAGCAATTAGATGATCTTCTTGTCAGCAATTTGATGATCTTCTTGTAACCAATGAAATGATCTTCATGACAGCAATTAGATGATCTTCTTGTCAGCAATTAGATAATCTTCTTGTCAGCAATTAGATAATCTTCTTGCAAGCAATTAAATGATCTTCTTGACAGCAATTAGATAATCTTCTTGTCAGCAATTAGATAATCTTCTTGTAAGCAATTAAATATCTTCTTGTCAGCAATTAGATAATCTTCTTGTCAGCAATTGGATAATCTTCTTGTCAGCAATTAGATAATCTTCTTGTCAGCAATTAGATAATCTTCTTGTGAGCAGCTTCTTTACACATATCGTATGATACCCTGACCCTATCATCGAATCCTCCAGACATGATATTACCACAGGAGAGAAGGAAGGAGAGAGGAAGGGAGTCTGTGTATTCAATATCCAACTTAGACTTCTCTTCTCGTGTATTCCCAATCCTAAAATAAAAATAATAAATGAATTGAACAATTCTGCTAGTTCTCGTCTCTAATTGATATATAGTCAAAGTTTAAATTATTAAGGATAGCAAAGATATAGGAATATGGAAATTACAGTTTGAGGCGAGTATTTAGTCCCTTTGCTTTGTTTGAAGTTATAAAATCTATTTATCAGACTGATAAACGTACTTTAACTCCTTATCAAGTGATAAGAGAGAGATAGCAGCCTGTATGTATATTTTATAGAGTCTAGCCACAACAACGTGTTTTATTTATATTTACAAAAAACAAATCCACGTGAATTAAAAAAAGTAGAAAAATTATGACATACAGGGTGTCCCACATCATATTAGATCGTTTATAGCTCTAAATTGAAATGACTAATCAGAATTTTTTTTAATAACTCATTAAAAAAATTAATAAAGCTTATAATTTTTTTTTTGCAGAAAACACCAGGTTTTTTCAGTATTATTTGTGTGTTTTGGCGTTAAAGCTTGGGGATAATCTAATATGATATTACATCTGAAACTATGGGCCAACCAATCAAACAACCAACTCTGGTTAGGTGGGTCCAAACTACATAGTAAATTGTGATTTTTGCATTATCTTGTGCTTTGTAATTGAATTAAAAATATTAAATTAAAAATAAATTTTGCCCTTTAAACATTTATCTGAGTAAAAATGAGTAAGATATTGTGGTTCTTAAAAAAATATTCCGCCAATTTTAGTCCAAAGCCCATTTTAGAAATTGGAAAAAAATTGTGAAATAATGTAAAAAAACTTACTTTACTAGATGTGCTAGATATGCTGAGAAGTATTCACTCTTAATCTTATCCTCATACATCTCTCTTGTCTACAATAAAATAAATATTAATATTATTTTCTAATTTAAGGCGAAAAATCTTTTACTTGCTATTAACCAAAGTGCCTGAAATGAACACCCCCCTCGTTCCCCTTAAAAAAAAATATATATGTAAAAAATCGAGGCCATTCGGTTGTTGACCTTAGGTTGCTTGGCCTCTCAAATCAGCCCCCCTCCCACCTTCGCCTCTCAAGCCAGCCAACCCCCTCCCCCCTGCACTTAATCTATAAATCTATATTTTTGTAAAGAAAAACTACACATGACACAAATATAAGTGTTAATTCTACCTCTGAGCTAAGAGAAGACATAAGTAGATACGCTAGATCTCCAGTAGTACGCCCTGTATAGGACAACTGCCAGTCTACAATCATAACCCTGAGCTTGCCGTCCTCCTCCCTCTTGAACATCAGGTTGTTGAAGGTAAAATCTCCGTGCTGGAGGCTCATCGTCTTGTTGCTCGCCTTACACCTCTTCTGACAGAGTTCCTTCAACCTCTCCTCAGAATCAAAACTCTTCTTAAACTTACGGAGAAGGGTTGGAGAGTCTAGCTCCGAAGACTGCTTTAACATCTCACAATAACTCTCCTTCATGACACCCAACCTCTCGGTCATCTCTGATTTAGCCCAGAGTAGACCTGACTCCGCTAGGGTCGGATGTAGAGTTCGGAGATCAATCTTCTTCTTCTGTTGCATACCTACAGATACTGCGTGTAGCTTAGCCAAACTCTGAACTGCACAAATAGCCTGATCAACGCTTAGAAACTTATCCCCGTTCACATCCTTCTCATGACCAAACCCCTCGGAGATGATATCCTCCAGGACGATAATAGCTCCATCATCATCTTCCCTGGAGAAAAGTATCTCTGGAACCTCAAACTCCGCATACTCCTCGGAGAACCCTTCCTCTCGGAGAAAAGATTTTAGCTCCGGGAGAACCTGCTCGTAGAAAACAATCTCGTTCTTGAATATATTCAGGGAGGAGGTGATAGCGTTGTTCTCGTTCTGGGGCATAACCTTAACAAACCAGTTGACCGTCTGGTTGGACCCGTCCACTAGTTCCATGTGCACCTGGACCCTGCCGCTGTCACTGAGATTTCCTTGGATCCCACTTCCACTCAACTGCTGAACCATAATCTTCTCAATCTGTTCAGATTTGATATTGTATATCTCCCAGATCAAGTTCTCCAGGATCCTGGTGCTGGACACCAGGCTTCCGATGGAGGTTGGGACGAGCCTTGGCTTCCGTTTGTAGTTTCCGAGGTTAAGCTTGAACACCATGGTGACTCGATATGATACAGGACAAACCTAGGACCCGGAGATTCAAGGTGGTAGAGGACTACAGGTTGACGAGATGAACTTGAAATGTTGAATTCTTTAATAGAGCAGTCAAACCTTATATCCATGTAGATAGAAGAACTGGTGGTTGGAAGATTAATTTCTCTCCGAGAACCAAATGAGCTGGTGTGTAAGACGTTAAATATTTATCGGGTGTGTAACTAAGTGACTAGTTGCATGTCTAGCTGAAAACTGAATTGATCTAGTGAAGACGGAGCTTCATATATCCCTTGTCTACAGTCTCTCTCTCTTCTCTCTCTCTCTACCTATCTATCTATCTAACTATCTAGGTTTTCAGGGACGTATACCTCACATTCATGATACATATTATTGTAAACATTTTTTTGTTCAACATCATTTTTTTGGATATTTTTTTAAAAGGCCTTTTTTGTAAACATACATTTTTTGTACAGAATCATGAAGAGAATGCATGATATCGCTTATATGCGTTCTTTCATGAAAAGAAAGCGAAAAATCCCGTAATCTGCGCAGTGTGGTTTGGCAAAACTGTATTTAGTCCGGAAAATTCTGCTTTTGGTAAATATGTATGGTCGGCTTTTAAGTCACCCCCCCCCCACCCTCTCTTCCTTTCTCTACTTAGTACGTGTACCATTAGATTTTCATGAATTAACATGAATTAACCTCCCCCCTCCCTGGTGGACACGGGCCCACTCCACTTTGACCAGCCCGCTATAATTGGTTTGACCCCTCCCCCCTAAATTTTAACCGAAATTGAACCGCGCCCCCCTGATTCAATTCAAAAGGTAATCTATTATTGGATTAGACCCCTTTACGCAATTGCCAAATAATTTGAGCCAAATTTTTAACAAAGCTCTCTTTATTTGAGCTGCTTTTTGAAACTTTAAAAAGGCTTCATTTTTTACATTAATTCAAATCTCGAATAATTTTTTTAATTAAAAGTTATTTTTGTGACCTTTTGTAAAGGAATTGAGCAGTGGCGGATATAAGGGGGGTTATTGGGGTTATTTACCCCCCCCTAGAATCTCGCCCTTCTGCCCCCTCCCTCCCCCGCACGTTTCCTAGAATTAGTGGAATTTTCCATGAAACTGAGATTTCGTCCAAACATTTAGATTTATTTTCCATAGATAAGCCCAATAAGGATGCAAACCTGTACAATTGTAGTTTCATCTGAGCCGGAAACTTAAGAGAGTTTCGTGGAACAAAACTCACGAGTTTCTTTAAAGAAATTGAGTCTTTGCCACAAACTCTGATTTAAAGGTAAAGGTAAAGAGATTAGACAATTTGAGTTTGTGGCAAACACTCAGTTTCTTTGAGCAGATTTTTATAAAACTGCGTTCATGACACTGTATTTCATTCATAGTGATACTTGTAAGTTTAGGGCTCTAATTTTTTTTAGAAAAACTAAAATATTAGAATGTTCTAGATGTGACAGAGGGTTCATCAACATGGGGGTCAATCTAGTGAAACGGCATAACCTGAAACAACCTAGTGTCAAACGAAAAAATTCGTACAAAACCACGACAAAGGAGCAAGCAACAAATGGGCAATTATGGGCTATACGCTGCGAGCACCGCGGCATATATTATTGTAAACACACACATTCCTCTAAATAAATGCACATATACACTTATGGAATTTAAATAGTATGCCTTGATGGCGTTGATTTAAACTAGGCCTTTAATTTGGACAGTACACTTCGTACTGCAACACTCCTCTTGTTTGAGAATAAATAAAGTTTAAAACTAAAATCATTTATGCAGTTACTGAAAATTATGAATTTTTATCGATATCGAATGAATCTTTTTTTTGTAAAGAATATATTTGAAATCTCCCTGAATAAGATATTTCTTACATAGTAACCAATATAATGGTATATAGCAATGTATTGTATATACCAGTTTATACCAGTATATATATAGTGGATGTAAGTACAATGTGGTTCATTTAACATGATGATTAGTACAGACCAAAGTTAAGCCTGACTGCAGTGACTTCTTTTTAACGTAATTTTGTTCATTCGAGGTTCCGTGAATATTCAAATCTATAGTTTCAGATTTTAGTCGTTTTCGTAATTTATTAATGAACTATCAAATTTTCACAAGTTGTAAATGAGCAAAAATGTTCTAAAATCGACATCAATCTAAAGAATATTACAGGAAACATTTTCAATTGTTGTTTAAATTGACAGCATATTTAAATATGCCACTTGGTTCAGACGTTCTCAGGAGGTTCTAGGAAAGGTTCTCAAGAATTTCTCCGCAAGCAACATTTAAGACGTGAAAGTAAAACGGTCTTAGACCTTTCGCTCAGATTTATTCATTTCAACTAAAAATCACGAATTTTCTTTCCGAATGACGACATTCAATCTTGACCATGCTTGCAACTACCGAAATGTAAATATTATCTTCTGTATAATCAAACGCAAAATGATCTATGGACAACATTTAAAAGTACGAGTGTTGAATTTGAAGCAAGGTGTACTTATCTCGGTCTGAAAATACAGAGGAATATATCTTCAACATTTTTCCATTTCATAAATATACGGTTGTTTTCTCTAACTTCTAATAAGAGTTTTTATTTCATTTAACTAGTCTTTCAGGGCGCTTTGCGCTCATCTTCTATTTCAATTGTGAACATTTTCTCTTTTATACATTGTAAAACAAAAACAAAATGCATAAACCTACGATGGGGTCATATATGTTCAACACAAAATATTTGGGCCGGATTGGTTCAGCCGTTTTGACGTTAATTGGAGACAAACAAACAAACACCCAGACACGCAAAGTATATATATAGATATATATTTTAAGCTTCGTTTAGACTCAAACTGCTGGACAACTAAAGCAAAATATAAACTATTAATAACTATTTGATATTTCCAACATTAAGTAATTGTAACAGCAGAATATTCATCTATATATATTTTGTAGCGATTTCTCAGTTCCTTTACTCGCTCTAGTTGGAAAGTTTAGAGGCCCATGAAATTTACTTTAATTTTAAGAAATGTTCAACTTTGAAAATCTGATTTTAAATGAATCTCCAGACCCTTATTCCTCTTTTTTTGGGACACCAAGTTGATATTAAAACCATTAAATCTACGCAAATTAATTCCTAATTATAAATTAAATAACATTTAAACCAAGTTTGATTCTCTATTATTTATTTCATATTTTTGCTGACAAATCCTCTTATGCAGCACTGCAGAGATTACTGCTTCCAGAGTTTCCATAGTAGATGGTTGGAACCCAGGGATACCCAGTTGTCATAAAGTATGAATATTGACCAGTAGTTGGATGAACGGCTCCGTTTCCATTGTCTAAGTTACAGTTCCCAGCAGCGTAATCAGCATCACTGTATTCATAATCAGAAGTAGAAGTTCCAACTGTGTAAGTTCCTCCAGCTGTTGTTACAACAGTAGTAGTAGCGCCATCAACAAGGTTGTAACAAGAAGTGAAGGTGGCATCCAACTCATCTTTACATAGTCCATAAACTGGGACTCCATCTCTGAAGTATCCAATGAGAACACACGCATCAGGATCGTTAGCTCCAGTTGCTGCACCAGCATCTGTGCAGTTTATGTTGGCATGGTAGTGATAAGCACCTTCTGCGGCACTGTGTCCAAAGCAAGAGTCCAGGGTTTTGCCCTCAATAGCCATGGCAACATTGAGATCAGCATCGTATGCGTTAAAAAATGCTCCTCCAGTAACTGCTAGACCAGTTGTACCTAGAGAAGTTGAAATACCAGTATTAGCCTTGGTTGGGTTCAATGGAAGAACAGTGTACTGCCAGCGTTCACATCTTGTGTTAGGGTTAGCCACAAGCTGATCAGTTTCTGCTTCATGGTCAGGAACCTGAGAGGAGACAACAACACGCTTGCCGTTGTATGTAAACTCAGTGAAGTAAGATTCAGCATCATCTCCGCAGTTGGAGTTGGCAGAGACAGAATTACAAGTTCCTGCATCAATATAGCTTTTTACAAGAGTAACAATTGCATCATCTTCAGATGCCGCAGTTGTTGTGGTTGTTGTTGTTGTTGTTGTTGTTGTGGTACTTGTCGTTTTTGTTGTTGTTGTTGTCGTGGTTGCTGAATTTGAATTCTTGCCACCTCTTACTGCTCCTTGGGAAAAAGCAACAAGGGAGAGTAACAAAATAAGGAATGCCTTCATTACTTCTACAGGAGAAGGTATGAACAATTGTTGAGGGTTGATTAAATTTGGATCTTATATACTGTGGAGATATGTACACTTTAAACACAAAAATATGGTCAAATCCATTAGAAACAAATGTTCTAGAGTAATGTAAATAAAATATGCAAACAAATTATTCAGCTTACTCAGCTTTAAATTACTGTACTTTTTTCCAAAGGGGGGGGGAGCAAGATACGCATTACTCTCTGGAAAAATTAAACAGTGTATAAATATAAATTAAACTGATTTTTTAAATTAATTGTAACATTTTTTTTATATCAAACTCAATTTAAACATCTGATTTAGATGATTTTACGTATATTCAACGTTTGGGAGTAGATTGAATATATTTCATCAAATTTAACCTTCTTTAATCTCAACATCCTCTCCCGGACCTCTAAACTCGATACATAGTACACAGCCGGGTCTTACTTCAAACCGTCCTATAAGACACCAGAAGTGATCTTCAGCTAAATTGATCGTTCTGTAGGCCTTCCCATGGACCTCATCTTGCATTTGCGTAAAATAATTTGAAACCAAGACATTTAGGTCTGGGTAACAAGGTGTTCTATTCCTTAGAGACCAACATATTGCCAACCCGTTATCAGAGAAATAGGCTATTGACGGTTTCCTCTTTTCAACAAAAATACAGGAGTAGGTTTCTTGCACTCACTCCCACTACGGCTAGAACAATAAGTGAGGCTGGTTTTTTGTCCTTTTTGTTCACCATTTACCTGTAAGTTTATCTATTGCCTGAATAAACCGTTCATGTCGAGAATATTTTGGACTATCAACATTTGTTTTTTTAGCCAAATAAATCCTTTTCTTTGGTCAACAAGATTTCAGCAGGTTTAAAACTATATTGCAGAAGGTCAGGCGCGGCTTTTACAGTCTGTCCCTAAAGTAATTTTTCAAGAATTTCAAGTCGTTTGAGAGTCTCCTGAAGCAGAGAAAGATTAACCATGCTGAAAATAATTGATTTCTTTATCAAATGTCATGTAATAACGAGTTAATAAATATTACAACTATCTTTTTGTTGTTCCTTGTTTTGCTTTGGTGAACATTAAAAAAATCGGCTTTAAGGAATCACCAAATATATATAAAATGTGTGTTAGGATTAGCTGGCTGTTAAAGCTCAGATCATAGTTCTCTATTTTGATAAGCATGCCTAACAGCCATGCTTATCAGAATGCTTAAAATCTAGTTTTGAGAACAGGAAATAATGAATCATTATAAAACATGCAAAATCTGAGGAATGACGACCCATAACTTAACTTCTGGCTACTAGCGCCCCGGTCGAACGCAATTCGTTTATAACAGGTTAAAAATTACAAACTTTTGAAAAACGTGACATATTTTGGAGTATGATATTCAAAAAAGAGCTTTTGACTTTCTGTAAATGTTACGTTCTTTTTGTTCAGAGACAGTTTTTAAACATACTGGGAGTGGGACAGACGAATTGATGGCTTACGTACAGTGATAACCAGAAAACTCAAAGAAAGTCAACTTTTAGACTCAAATTATGACTTTAAATAGTCAAATATGAATTTGAGTAATTGTGCAGTGTAAACAGACCCATTCACTTAAAAAGTAACTTAATAACTTACTACTAAAGCTTTTGCTTTGTAACATCATCAAATGCACTTCAGTATTGCTTTAACCTTGTCATCCAACTTTACAGTTTTTTGGTTATCACTGTATGCAAACAGCTTGATTGTTTGTCTGTAAGGGTGTGTGTATTGTGTAGAGGAAGGATTTAATGCAAGGAAAGTTATTTCAGAAAGTTATTTTGTACTGCAGTGTACTGTCACTGGGCGGTAATGTAAACACAAGACGGATGTCGAAGCCTGACATGGGTTCCATCTTTCACATGAAAAATCAATGAAATATTCTGGTCATAGGAAACTATTATGTGAATTATCAAAATTATCAAAATTCAATGCTTTTAACCTACTCGGATACTAAATAAACACTGATGCATCTATGTTTGTTTACAAATTCCGCCCAGAGAGAACTGGTTTCAATATGTACGCAGAGTATACGCAACTGCAATTAACTTTCCTTGCATTACATTCTTGGCGTAGAGTATATCCAACAAGCGTCCAAACCAGAAAAATCTGAAAAACTATATATTATTTGTTTCCCGGGAATTTATTTGAAAATAGATAATAATTTTTCATTGAAAGATATAATTATATAACTTTTTTTTATTTTATGATGTTGATTTTAGTAGAAATAGAAAACAATACTGTTAATTTAAATTTTTTTTTTATATTTAATATAAATTTTTTTAAATCGTAGATAAAATATTTCTTAGATTTTTGTATTCTAACAAAAACTTTATTAAATTTGATTTTTAAAATTTATTTTTTGAATGTTAGTTTGATAATTTCATTATTGACAAGATTGTGGAAGTCATTGATGACAGTTTATTTTTAATTTAAAAAAAAATCGTTTTTGACATTTTTCTAAAAAAGAATCACTTTTATAATTACTCAACAAACTGAAAATTCATTACAAAAAAAATTCATTTTATTATAATTGTTAACTTGTCTAAGAATTTTTGAGAAAAGAAAGTATTAATAATTCTTTGAAATCATTACGCTTAAAGGGATTATATACGCAATAATTCTCCATTTTTTAAACCATGTTTTTTTATAATTTAAATTTTAGCAAATTCTTTTATAATCTAATATTAGCAGCTGCTGGTGTTTTGCATTTTTAGAATGGCATGTTCAAATTTACAACGGTACCCTTTGAACCAAGGAAAAATCATGGATGACGGATATCTGCATATCCTATCCGCAGAAATGTTTGTAATTGTTGATAACTTTGTTTAAAATCTGCTTTAAAGTTTAAGAATATTTACTTTCGTGCAGTGACAAAGAATCTTTGGGAGTTTCATAAAAATGTGAAGTAAGCTTCGTTGAGTACACTGTACGCTAGTGTACACTCCAGTTTCCCAGAGAGCATTTTCGTAGATTTCAATTTAAAGAAACCATAATGGAATAATATTTCTTAGCAACAAATATTTGTGTCCACAGAACCCTATTCATGAAACCGGGTTTCTGCTACTGGGTTTCTGATACTGGGTTTCATTACGATACTTTGTCTTAAGTTTCGGGCTTATTACAGTTTGCACGCTATTTTTAGTTCTCCGCTGTCGATAATCAGACAAAGGTTCACGGGGTACCGTTGTGAATCGGACTATGCAGCTACGTTATCAATCTTTGTAAAAGAAGAGATTTTAAGCGAGGTATCCCCATCTTGGACTCTTCTCATAATCACCAACTCTAAACAAAAACATATTTAGAAAAATAACAGTTTAGTTTGTTCCTCATGGATTAATTACTTTTAATAGCAATCGGAAACCCAGCTTTGTCTGGAAATGAAATTATCTTTATAAAACTCAACCCACTTACAATTTTAAGCCAAGCGTATAGCATCCTGTGGTTCTATGATTAGCGCATTGATAGAGTGGAATTATAATCATCAAGAGTTATCCGTCTAGTTCTCAAATACGTTAAAGTAAATTTTAGCTTAAAATGTTCGTTAAAGATATGGGTAAAGAGATATACAATTATATATGACTCATTTCTCTTAAAGGGACTGTTAACATAATTTCAAGTGACCCTAAATTTCCTTTGATGTAAATCATACAATTTTGCAAAGAACCGCATCTGAAAAAATCAATTTGCAAATTAGGAAAAATTTTGCAATTTTCGCTCGAATAAAGGTTTGTGAAACATATATAAATAATTACTTAAATTACTTCAACATTCCCTTTAGTATGTCCTGCAGGTTGATTAACGTCCCAACTCCCTGAGGACATGTCCTCAGGGAGTTGGGAATAAAAGGGAGATATAACTGACACGGTTCGCCCTACCATATGATTATACATGCTTTACAGACGAAGTACTCCATGTGAATAGAAATATTTAAATGTCGTCTTATGCACAATTACCGCGTACATGTATTCAGAAAAGGTCATTGAATACATTTAACAGGGAAAAAGTATGCTGAACATCGCCAAATAAATTCATTTTTTAAGATGCAAAATTATCAGCAATACAAACGTATTTTTTATATTAATTAAGATTGTTTTTATTTATTATGGTAAAGTAAAAAGTACATTTGAAAAATTAATAGACGACCTTTAAAAAAACTCTTTTTCAAATGGAGTACTTCGTCTGTAAAGCATGTATGATCATATGGTAGGGCGAACCGCGTCAGTTATATCTCCCTTCTATTCCTTACTCCCTTTATGTCCTGCAGGTTGATTAAAGTTAATTACTTCAACATTCCCTTTAATATGTCCTGTAGGTTGATTAAAGTTAATTACTTCAACATTCCCTTTAATATTTCCTACAGGTTAACTACTGTAGAATTAATCAGACTTGACAATTTGTCAGAAAAAGTTTAAACAATGAAAACTTAAATTTAAGATTTTAATCATCATTTCTTCCTTTTAAACCTTTTCAAACGATTTCATTTAACAAATTCAATTCAAGTTTAAGATAATAGCAATTCCAGGTTTAATTAAAAAGATCTTCTTAATGATTAATTGATAAAATTTTCCCTTTTTTCTTTAAAAAATAAAGGGTATGGGCCGGGGGGTAGATTATACCTATATTAAGAACAAAGCAATAAATATTTCAATTAGACTAATTTCATTTATCCAAATTTGTGTAAATCTAATTCAATACTGTTAAGGAATTACAAATTCATGAATTAAGAACAAAATAAAAAGTTTTAACATAGATTCTGATTTATACTATACAAAATATAACTAAATTCAGCTGAAACCTTAAAATTTCTTTTTTAAATTTAAGTTCGTCACCAAGAAATTTTAAGCAAGTGGGTTAAAATATATAAGATTTACTTTCGATTAGATATACAAGGTTACCCAAAAAAGGATGAGACTGTAAAGACGACCTTAAACCTTTAAAATATGAAGATTTCAAGGTTAAATTAAGTCTTTTGCCTTGAATATTGTATTTTTATTGCCTATTTTTTTGACACGGCAACGAAAGAAACCAGTTTAAAACGCAGAGAATCCTAAATCCAAGGTACTAATGCAAGGAAAGTTAATTGCGGTCGCGTATACTCTGCGTACATATTGAAACCGGTTCTATCTGGGTGGACTTTGTAAAGAAGAATAAAAGAATAAATGCATCAGTGTTTGTTTAGTTTCAGAGTAGATTAGAAGCATTTAATTTTGATAATTTTGAAAATTCACATAATAGTTTCCTATGACCAGAATATTTCATAGATTTTTTTTGAAAAGATGGATTCCATGTCAGGCTGTGACATCCGTCTTGTGTTTACTTTTCCGCCCAAAGACAGTACACTGCAGTACACAAAATGCGTACACCTCTGAAATAACTTTCCTTGCATTGGTACCTTGCCTAAATCCAAGCAAATTGTCAGTAAAAAGCTAACCTATGTTTGTGAATATCATTGTACAGGAAGTTAAATAAGAACTAACCTATTTTTGTGAATATCATTGTACAGGAAGTTGAATGAGAACTAACCTATGTTTGTGAATATCATTGTACAGGAAGTTGAATGAGAACTAACCTGTACAGGGAGTTGAATAATAACTAACCTATGTTTGTGAATATCATTGTACAGGAAGTTGAATGAGAACTAATCTATGTTTGTGAAAATCATTGTACAGGAATTTGAATTAGAACTAACCTATGTTTGTGAATATTATTGTACAGGGAGTTGAATAATAACTAACCTATGTTTGTGAATATCATTGTACAGGAAGTTGAATGAGAACTAATCTATGTTTGTGAATATCACTGTACAGGAAGTTGAATGATAACTAACCTATGTTTGTGAATATCATTGTACAGGAAGTTGAATGAGAACTTACCTATTTTTGTGAATATTATTGTACAGGGAGTTGAATAATAACTAACCTATGTTTGTGAATATCATTGTACAGGAAGTTGAATGAGAACTAATCTATGTTTGTGAATATCATTGTACAGGAAGTTGAATGAGAACTAACCTATGTTTGTGAATATCATTGTACAGGAAGTTGAATGAGAACTAACTCTATGTTTGTGAATATCATTGTACAGGAAGTTGAATGAGAACTAACCTATGTTTGTGAATATCATTGTACAGGAAGTTGAATGAGAACTAACTTATGTTTGAGAATATCATTGTACAGGGAGTTGAATAATAACTAACCTATGTTTGTGAATACCATTTGCACAGGAAGTTGAATGAGAACTAACCTATGTTTGTGAATATTATTGTACAGGAAGTTGAATAATAACTAACCTATGTTTGTGAATATCATTGTACAGGGAGTTGGATAATAACTAACCTATGTTTGTGAATATCATTGTACAGGGAGTTAAATAATAACTAACCTATGTTTGTGAATATTATTGTACAGGAAGTTGAATAAGGACTAACCTATGTTTGTGAATATCATTGTACAGGAAGTTGAATGAGAATTGATGAAGCCCAGAATTATACAATCTACTTTTTGTCACATTCCGTTCTAAAATCATATTTAAAAACAAATTAAAATTGAAAAATTTGAAAAAGAATATATATCCTTTTTTTATGGAACTCAATTTAATATCAGCTTTTCCTGAACTATATATTATGCTAGCTTGGGAACCCAGCATTTCCAAGGTTACTCATAGTTACCTCCGCCGTTTACCCGCACTTGGTCGCTTTTACCGGGAAACTAAATTTTTGAAATAAAAGTCGACCCACTCAACTTAAAATCTCAGAACTAAGCTAAGAACATTTTCGTGGGTCTCTTGAGTTCCCCTATCAAAATTTGAGGCAAATCGGTCGAGAGGTTCCTCAGTTATGATCGGACAAACACACAAACAGACAGACAAACAGAGATTACAACTTTACATATATACAGAAGATAGTCTGTATATTATTAATAATTTTGACGGACAAAAACACTGATTGACACTTGTAACGTCAGAATACAGCTGTACTGACAGTGCACAAATTCTACGTTGCCATCTATTGTACTAGAATGTATTTGGAATTTAGTATTAAGATTGTGTGCTGAATGCAGATTGTTTGAATACAAAATTAAACACAATTAGCTTCAAGATCCACTTTATCTGTAAATGTTAAATTGAAAAAACAAAAAGCTAGAATATTATTATTTTAAAGTTAATGACATGTTTAAGTATAAACAATGCGAATTTTGAAAATCTGCGAACTTCTCCCTACAAGCGATTTACTCTTGACAGAGGGTAAGATTGTGAAGAATTTAATTTAGAGCCTTTAAAACCATTATTAGTCAAAATTTTGTAAAGTAAAAAGCAGCAAATTTATAAAACATACAATGTGCAATTTTTTTTATGAATTCTCTGAAAAATCAATGGAATGTTTAAAAATTCCAAGAAGCAAACGAACTCAACAGTTCATAAGACGACAAAGATTTATCCCAATGAAAAGTGTAAAAGTAATTTTAGGATTGGTAAAATTTTATGTTTTACATGAGCCCGTTTCTTTACAAGAACTTACAAGAACTTTCATCTGTCACAATACACTGTGCCGGTGTAGCGTTAAATCCAGACCGGGCGTTATATTTGGTCCGGGTGAGTGTTACATGTGAAATCCATGTACAAAATTGATAGGAGGGTCAAAAAATCGTATATTAGGAAATTACCGCTGGTTATGTACAAAATTGATAGAACGGGGGGGGGCAAAAATTGTTTACTTTGACGGACCCAAAGCATGCACATTATCATTGTTATTGAAATTGTTACATTTTTTTGTTTCCCCCCCCGTTCTATCAATTTTGTACATAACCAGCGGTAATTTCCTAATATAAGATTTTTTGACCCCCTTCCCCCTCCTATCAATTTTGTACATGGATTTCACATGTAACACTCACCCGGACCAAATATAACGCCCGGGCCTTATTTAACGTGACACCGGTACAAGAGGTGGTACTAACCAATTTTAAATTTCAATCAAAGCTCGTTCCGTTAAAAGGAACAGTAAGGTACAGGATAAGTTATGGTACAATTTTATCTGTCACACTTAGTTGTGCCGGTACAAGAAACAGTACATTACAAATTCAGCTGACACTTTAGCCTGTGCCGGTACAAGAGTTGGTACTAACCAATTTTAAATTTCAATCAAAGCTCGTTCCGTTAAAAGGAGCAGTAAGGTACAGGATGAGTTATGGTACAATTTTATCTGTAACACTTAGTTGTGCCGGTACAAGAAACGGTACATTACAAATTAAGCTGACACTTTAGCCCGTGCCGATACAAGAGGTGGTACTAAACAATTTTAAATTACAATCAAAGCTCGTCCCGTTAAAAGGAGCAGTAAGGTACATGAAGAGGTATGGTACAATTTTATCTGTCACACTTAGTTGTGCCGGTTCAAGAAACGACACGCAACTAATTCAGCTGCCGGTACAAAAAGTGGTAAAGAAAAATCTTAGCTTTTAATCAAAGCTCATACCGGTACAAGAAACGGCACGTTACAATGCCATCGCCCATCTGTCCCTTATAACCCTTGCCGTTACATAAATTAACACTGTATACATTTCAAACGAAGAAGAGTTTAGGGTGATTTCCTTTCCTACCTATATCTAGATACAGAGTGCAGCCAGACTTTACGATCAATCTTTGTACATCATCAGGAGTTAGATGGAATACAATTCTTCCATTAATCCTAGAAATACAATTCTTCCATTAATACTAGAAATACAATTCTTCCATTAATACTAGAAATACAATTCTTCCATTAATACTAGAAATACGATTCTTCCATTAATCCTAGAAATACAATTCTTCCATTAATCCTAGAAATACAATTTTTCCATTAATCATAGGAATACAGTTCTTCCATTAATCCTAGAAATACAATTCTTCCATTAATACTAGAAATACAATCCTTTCATTAATCCTAGAAATAAAATTCTTCCATTAATCCTAGAAATACAATTCTTCCATTAATCCTAGAAACACAGTTCTTCCATTAATCATAGAAATAAAATTCTTCCATTAATCCTAGAAATACAATTCTTCCATTAATCATAGAAATACAGTTCTTCCATTAATCCTAGAAATACAATTCTTCCATTAATCCTAGAAATACAATTCTTCCATTAATCATAGAAATACAGTTCTTCCATTAATCCTAGAAATACAATTCTTCCATTAATCATAGAAATACAGTTCTTCCATTAATCCTAGAAATACAATTCTTCCATGAATCATAGAAATACGATTTTTCCATTAATCCTAGAAATACAATTCTTCCATTGATCCTAGAAATAGAATTCTTTCATTAATCCTAGAAATACAATTCTTCCATTAAATGCAATTCTTTTATTAATCCTAGAAATACAATTCTTTTAATAAGATTAATTATTTGGTGTACCGTATCGTTTTGTACATAATCTGTATTTTATACTGTACAACTTGACCTACCGTGTTTCATGTTTATTGGACTATTGGACAGTCGTCTTCTCATGGTACAATGTTATGTGTCCCACCGTATATTCATTATAGAAAACACATGTTTACCTTGTTATAAGATCGTTTTCCTTCAAGCCTGATACCTCGGCTGCAGACTCACGCCTATAGATAGTTTATAGGAGAACATTGTGAAACGTAAAAAAAACCTGTTTAATAAAAAGCATAAGCTATAAAACTACTTAAGACAGAATATATATCTAACTGAAACCCAGTATCGGAAACCCGGTTTCATGAATGGGGTCTGGCAGTTTTGTAGATACCAATATTTTTATGTTAACAGGAAGCTAGTGAGTTTCGTGAAACGGCTCTGTACAATGTTGTCTGCACGATGCTTAGAAAACCACAGACTCTTGAGGATATTCTCGTACATAAAGAAAAAAGCACCATTTTGTGATACAAATTGTGTCTGCAGACTATGTAAGATGAAAGATGGAAGATGGAAGATGGAAGATGGAAGATGGAAGATGGAAGATGGAAGATGGAAGATTGAAGATGGAAGATGGAAGATGGAAGATGGAAGATGGAAGATGGAAGATGGAAGATGGAAGATGGAAGATGGAAGATGGAAGATGGATGATGGAAGATGGAAGATGCAAGATGTAAGATGGAAGATGGAAGATGAAAGACGGAAGATGGATGATGAAAGATGGAAGATGGAAGATGGAGGATGGATGATGATAGATGGATAATGAAAGATGGATGATGAAAGATGAAAATGAAAGATGAAAGATGGAAGATGGATGTTGAAAGATGAAAAATAAAAGATGGAATACAAGATTAAAACCTGATACTTCTGGCAGCAATCCATAATCCCTGCTGATGCCTTGCAGTTATAATCCCACTCCAGAATCCACTCTGAAATAAACTTCAGTAATATCTTCATAGCCCCTTAATGCCCCCCCCCCCATCACCTCCTATTAATTATATTTTTTATTACTTTTATATATTTATTCTATGTGTGTTCCTCAAAAACGCCACGCAAAGAGGTACATTCTAAGAGAATAGATTAGTATAAAGAGGAATTGTGCTAAACAACCTTTTGGGCCCTGGAACATCTTTTTGTAGAAAAAAGTTTTCTTAAATTATTTACTTTTCCCTAAATCAATTCTCTGACAACCTGTCATGCATTCCCGAGTTCATCTTAGCATAAGCTTCGTTAAAAATTATTTGATGTTTTTTTTATTAAAAAAACATATTTCTTAATTTTAGGTAATCAAACAGTGAAACCAATATTTTTGAAATTCTCAAGATATCAAAATATTAAAATTGAGGATGAGAAGGATAAATGGTTCTTTAATTTCAAATTCACAACTTTTATACAGTGGAACCCATACAACTGTGAAACAGAAGAACGACATTTAAACAATCTAATTTATCCTTGCTAAGTTTTATGTCTTGATAGAAAGTAAAAACGGCTCTGATACATCTAAGGGGCAGGAAAGGCTCTGATACATCTAAGGGGCAGGAAAGGCTCTGATACATCTAAGGGGCGTTCGCCCCCCCCCCCCAAAAAAAAAGGCCTTAGACCTATAACCTACAGACCTATAAGTTTAATAGTTTGGGTGCTAGGGAGGGTGTAAAAAAATGCCTTTAAAAGGGTAAAAAAATGAAAAAAATATTTTTTTTGTTTTAAACAAATATCAATGTTTCTACATGCATTTTTCAAGGGCTTTTTAAAAATATAGTTTTTAGATCTGTAACTTTAGTCACCAAAAAGTTATGGGGTATTTTAGATTTTTTTCACAGACCGGACTTTTTTTCCGCCCTGTACCCCACCCTATAAATAAGCAAAATATTTTCTAACAAAAAATCCTTCAAATTACTATTCATTAAAAGTCACAAAATTTCACAGTGATAGTGTCAAAAATGATAGTGCTAAGACAAGAAAACTTCCCCCCCCCCCCTCCCAGCCTGTTTAGGGTTAATGTTCTGTGGCTACATTCTTGTGTCCAAAATTTATGTTTAGAAAAAAAATTGAAAATTATGAAAATACAAATTACGAAGCTTTCTATTATTTATTTAGGGTACACAATAAAATAAGAATTTAAAAGGAGGGGTTGGAGGGGGAGGGGGTAATTTGTTTACTCTACTATAGCTCTAAACAGCTAAGTAACGTAAATCAATTTTCCAATAAGAAGTGTTCCTTCGTACTTGTTTCTACGTAACTTCCCTGCAAATAAGAAGGGAGAGTGGGATTCATGTTGTGTTCAATGCCCCGGAAAATTCCAAAACAGAGAGAGGGGGATTGAATTTTGTAGATCCAGAAAAAGAATTAAATTAGTATTTATTTAGGGTGATGTTAGGTTAAGATACTTTCTGGGCCGAGCGCTGCGGCTGGGACAGGCTAGGGGGCCGAGCGCTGCTGCCACGGGTTAGGTTAAGTTATGAAACTTTCAGGGCCGAGCGCTGCGGCTAGCACAGGCTAGGAGGCCGAGCGCTGCCAGTCTAAACGCAGGCATCCAAGAGATATTATTTTTCTGGATCTACAAAATTCAATCTCCCTCTCTCTGTTTTGGAATTTTCCGGGGCATTGAACACAACATGAATCCCACTCTGCCAAATAAGAACTCATGAATTTCTACAGAATAGAAGAGGAAAGAAAATGGCCGAGATTTCGCACATATTTTGATTGATAAAACTAATTGATTATCTTTCTAGGATAAAGGTTTCTCTATTGTCAAACATTATTTGTTATAATTCTACATTCAAGGCCATAATTAAATAAGTATGAAGTAGATCCATCAAATTCTCATAACCTGATAATTAAATGGCAAATTATAAAACTTTTAGAGAAAAAAATCAGGAATTTTTCTTAAATTTGAAAATGGATACCAAGACTCTTATATAACCGATCCTTATACAAATCAAGACATAAAAGAAATGCATTTTAAAGTCTTCACAAGTTCAAAGGAAAAAATTTACTTCAAGGGACTGTAAGCGTAATATCAAGTGACCTCCATGTCCCAGATAGACAACAGTACCCTTAAAACTTATATTGATAAATAATGTATTTTTTAAGATTCAAAAGTGTTCAATTCTTTAAAAAATAAATTCTGCTGTAGAAATGCGTAAATCACTTTTAAAGAGAATCCACTATCGAAAAAATCAGTTTTCAAAACTATAAACAAAGAGATACAATTCATTCAAGAGCAGACAAAGCTTTTCAGGGTTACCCGTTGTGAATCGGACATTGCAATCTTTGTATGGAGGGTCACTTGAAATTACACGTCTAATCTCTTTATAGAATGGAAAAATTGCAAAGGAAAAATGTATTTTAATTAAACTATTGCGCCGCCGTTGAAGATACAAGAGTACGATCAAAAATGCATTTAGATAAAACTAACCCTGAATGTTATCATCATGTTTATATATTTCTGACATTTTTTGTTAATAATGCATTCGAGGATTTTATCCAAAATTGCAATGTTAGATTTTTGAACTTTTCTTCTCTTTTGAAAACTTAGATTTCTTTTATAATTTTGCTCATGTCTGAATTGAAGATTTCTGATATAAAGTCAGGGGCTAAGATTTTTAAAAAGTTTTTTTAATAACTTTCCTTGAACTAGTTGCACATGAATCTTCTCTTTTGAAAATTTAAATTTACTTAATAATGTTGCCTGAATTAAAGATTTATTAGACAAATGCAGTTCACAGATTTTACACAGAAATGAGGCCTATTTATTTTTATTTTAGAGTTTATGGCCACTGGCCAGTCAGCATTAAAAAAAAAATGGGCTCCTTTGTTATATATACACGTGTTTGCTTGAAATCCAACACTGATCTCTGAAAAAGTCAATCGTCAACTAAATTTCTTATTTACGATCCTTGATACAATAATCTCTATATTTCCCCTTGGACAGAGGGTTGGTTATTTTGCTTTCAAAACTACCGGTGCAGTTTAGTTTTATTCAAAACAATTTTGAATAAAACTAAACCTTTATAAATATGAAAAAATACCGAATATAGTTAAAAACCTGTTCTAGAATATCCTTAGAGCCAACAGCTGAAAACCCCCATGGGTCATCTTCTGTATCCCGGGTTAGGGTTAACAGTAACCTCTCATCCTTTACAGTACACACATACCCAGTCTAGAATACAGGATAGGGTTAACAGTAACACTAAACACATATTTTTGGATAGAATTGACTGTTTGCCACAAACTCTGATTTTCTTATACCTATCCTTGCTATCTAATGTGTCATAGGCCTTAGAAAAGAAACTATGTGTTCTATTAGATCAAATAATCTAAGTTTGAAACATAAAAGGTTTACACCATCAGGTTGAAAAGATATAGGGATTAGATCCTTTATATTTTTCACCTTGCCAAGTCTTTTTACAGGAAACACAGGGTAGCTGGGAATACTCTCATTTATCTCAGACATTTCTATACCCTGTATATTTAACAGTGAACTAAATTTAACGAATAAAGAAACTTAAAATTTTGAATGAAAAAAGTTCATAAGAGGATGAAAAAACTGATTAGATGCCTCAACATTTTATTATCTAATCCTTATGGCTATATCTACGCGTACGCAAACTAATGCTTTAAAAATTTAACTTTTTACGCTTTGTCCATATGATCGAGCAGTATCAATTGTTTGAAGAAAATGAGGTTGCAAAATATAGACTTGATGTGAGTAATCAGTGTGGTTATATGTTTGTTATACAATATACACATTGTATTGAAACACTGCGTATATGATAAATTAAAGTCCCTAGATTAGTTTGTGAACTTGGAAGGACTGAAAAATAACTTTCTTCTTTAGAACGCAGGCCTTTAAATCAGGTCCCATAGGTAAGAGCACATTTACATACAGGTAGGATCCACAGATTTCATAGGTAAGTGTGCATTTTAATAAGAAATATACACCAACTATACAATTCTTAGACTTCTAAATATTTTCTAAATCTTAAAGTCTATTTCCAGATTAAAGAAAGTTCATGATTTTTATGTTTTAAAATTATATGTAGATAATAATTGTTAACAAATATTTATAAAATTTATAAATGTTCTTATGAAATTGTGTTTTTAAACCGTTTTCTAAAAATTCATGGGTTTTGTTCTAAAAGTTCTAAAAAGCCCTGATCGGTTTTCAAAATCAATTCTTTTACAGACTTTTATAGCTTCTACATCTCTATCGACATTTTGGATAATTTCATGAACGAAAAAACGAAATTACTTATATATATTACTTCAATTTACAACAATTAACAAAATCTGGTTTATGAATTGGATTTTTTTTAAATAAGATGTATACACTTGCTTTAGAAAATTGATCCTGGAATAACTAAGTGTTCTAATTTTTAAAATCAATCGTAAATAACATTTCAAAACTTTGAGTTATGTTTAAATTTCATCAAATTGTGTCAAATTTTCTGTTTTCTCTGAAAAGTACTAAGGTTTTCTAACCCCTATATCTATGCAGTTTGATGGTGTAAACCTTTGATATTTCATACTTAGATAATTTAATTTAAGCGAATTCATAATTTAAGATATCAAAGGAATTAATTAAAAAAAAATCATTTCCTTAGTTTGTTGAATGTACGTTAACTTTAAGGTCTGTTTATTTGAAAGGTCAGAAAAGAGGATGTTTTGGGGAAAAATAGAGAGAGAGGACTGTACGGGGGGGTCTAAGACAGAGGAACAGGAGGGGGGGGGGGGGCTAGGGAGCCTTTTTAAGGATTATATCATCATTACGGACATAGATTGATAACAATACAGATAGAACACTAGATGTCGTCTTTTCAAGATTTAGAGGTTTTTCGTTCACAATAACCCTGGTTCCTGAGGCAGAAGCCCAAAGAAGTTACGAGCATGCTCTCTCTTTGTCTAGTAATTCAACGCTGCATGCGCGTAACTCCTTTGTGCCTCTAAATCAGGGTTCATGTGAACGAAAAACCGTTAAATCTTGAAAAGACGACATCTATTGTTCTATCTGTATTGTTATTGCACTATGATTACAGACAGATGCAGGCCTGCAAAAAGCCATTTTAGAAAGTTTGTGAGCAATTGAAAACTATTTTTTTATGTGTAAAAATAATTTTCTAGAATAAATTTGATTAATGACATTTTTTATTTTTAGAGTAAATAAACCTTTCTGGTTTTTAACTACAATTTCTGAGGCATCGAAAGAATTTGTAAAATGCCGTTTTCTAAACCTACTGATTATGGAATGCTGCAGATATTTAGATTTTTAACTGAATAATTATACAAAAGTATGCAAAATTGTCAAGACGACATTTTATAAATTCTTTTGATGTATCCAAAGTTCTGGGTTAAACTGTATAATACGTAGCTCATGAAATAGACAACCTATCCCAATGTTCCTAGTGTGAGTCTTGACACAATACAATTCTTCTATTCTTGGCTCTCTCTCTAGCCTTTTTTGTACTTTCAAATTTCCGCAAGATATAAATTGACTCCAATATAATAATTATAACGAAAATTATCTAAACTTCCAATGACACGGAAATGCGTGCATGTCATGCAAAGGTATCAACAGTTATAAAATCTCTAAACGGTCAATGTTTTGTGGGACACCCTGTTGCTTAAAAAAGAGATGGTCTTTGAAGCTAAATTAAAACGAGGAAAATGAGTTTATTTAATTCTATACAAACGACAGTATAAATTCTAGATTTCTGTTTCTGTATAATCATGAAAATGATACAGCTACGCCTAGAGATTTCCATATTTTAACGGAACAATGCGACATTTTGCCTCCAATTCAAATCTATGTAAATATGAACTAGAAAGATGGAAGAATAAAATCATAAAATGGGGTTAGAACCAGTGACTGAGAATTAAATGGCATGAAAATTTGCAAATTTGATTTTTACAACCTTTGTAACAATTATTTTTGAATTCATGAATTCCGCAAAGTCATTAGAAAGGAAGTTTTGCTTAACTCAGATGAACCAAAATTTGAAATATTAAAAAATTGCTTCAAGCTAAGACAAGCTTTCTTCATACTTACACCCTACACTTTTTATTAGAAACCTTTGAAAGTAAGGCACACAATTTATGTTATAATGAACATAATTTTCAAACAGGAAAAACTTCTACACATTACCTTTTTAAATTTTTTTTAAATCTTCAAAAATAAACTGATCAATCAACATTAACATTTTGAAAGGGAGTCATCGCATTGATTTCATTCTTTCTAGAAAGTTTTTTTTATGATTATTAAGATCAGAAAATAACTATTCATAAACCGGTTTTCTAAAGAGTGATGACGTCAGCTGCTGGTTGTAAAGAATCAAAATGGTGATTTTGTATATTTGAAAGGAAATGGGGAATATCTAACGTCTATTCTAACAAAGGATTGTATACTCCATGTTTCTTTAGAGGACAGTTATCTCTTTTTTATGGAACACATTTGTATTGCAAATAGTTGCAGTGCAGAAAGGTTTTTAAAATATATTTCCTCATTTTTTCGGTTTTATCATGTTTCTTGGTTTTACAAAATTTTCGGGTCTAACAAAAATGCTTTTTTAGGTATTTTTCAGTTTTACGCTAAATTGTTAATTTCGTAATTTTATCGAAAGAGAGAAAAAACCAAAATCTATTAAATAGTTCAATGAACATGAGCGAACATGTAGTTAAACAGACCCATTTCATCAAAGGAGTAAATTCATAATTCACAATTAAAACTATTTGCTTTGTAACAACATCAAATACACTAATTTAATGCTTAAATGTCGTCTTATTCCACAATTTTCTGGTTTTCCCTGTCCTATTTCATATAGCATCTCGTTATATATATATTCATAGACCATCGGAATAAGCAACCTACCCTGATTAGGGGGGTCGAAACAAATTTAGTAAATTGGATTGGCCGACATTTTACATACAGTGATAACCAGAAAACAATGGAATGCTAAGACGACATTATAGAAATACAAGTGTATTTGATATTGTTACAAAGACTCTTATTAAATAACTAATTTAGTGGAATGGGTCTTTTTACACTGAACAAGTGCTGTGTCTCATGCTCGGTGGACTTTTAAAAGTTTTAATTGATTATTAAAGTCGTCTTCCTGTTTCAGAGTTTTCTGGTTATCTGTAGTTTGTATTTCAATAAAACAATATATGTAAAGTGAGAATTTAGACCAAAAACTTTCCAAAATCAGAATGTTCTAAAAAACGCGAACCCTTAACAGAGAAATATGAAGCTACAAGCTTAGAAAGAGTGGTAAAAGCATGAAAGGGGATGATAAACATAACTAGAGTAATAGAGAATCCTGGGGGAAAAAAGGACAATGACACATGGAAGAAGGGAACCTTCACGGGCTCATGCAGAGGGGGGGGGGGAAGTGGGGCATTCCCCCCCATAGAATTTACATTTTACTATTTATGTCTTTGATGAGTCAAGAAAATTTTTCTGGTAATCTATAGAATGTTGGAATGACTGCACTGTACTGTACTGAAATTTACTGTTCATACAATTGTACTGTACAGTTTTTAAAAACAGCTGAAAAATGGCCAGTGTACACTTCTGAGTTGAAATACCAGTATATGGTTAATCAGCCCATTTGAAAGCGGTGGGACTGAGGCCGGGGTGTGATGTAGAGAAGGTCTTGGTAGGAGGTCATATAAACTCCCATCCTAACCTCAGGCGTGTGAGCCATGAACAGGTCAAATCATTCCTTTTCTGTAACCAATCCAGTATTATGGATTATTTTACTGTGATATTTATTAAACATCATTTTATGATTGAAAACACTTTCCCACACATATAGATTAGATTGGGCTTAAGATTACTCCATCAAGTCAGTAGTGAATTAAGTCACACTAATATCATTATCAGATGTTGAGTAAATGGGTATTCAATATTTGATTTAATTTTGTCTTGTCAGCTTGGTCAGCTGATTGATGAAGATGAATCTTCAATCCTATTGATGTGAGGCTTAAAACCCACTCCACTTTAGATCCTCGTAATCCCGTCTAGTTTTCCACAGAAAGGATTCTATATATTATGCTGGTGTAGGGAAAGGATTAAGTTTATATCACGTGTACTTTTTATCTGTACATTGTACAATGTACACAAGTGTACACTGTACATTGTACACTATACAGTGTTCAATTCAACCATTTAAAGATGGATTAGCAGTTTATAGTTTACAAATACAATACGACCATTTCAGGATTGTGTGTACTGTGTATAGTGTACAGTATAAACTGTACACTGTACACGCAATGGTATAAAATTCGACCATGGAAAAACTACGATTCAGTGTAAAGTGCACAGTTCGACAATTAAAGAATTACACTGTACAGTGTACAACGCATAATGATTACTGTACAATTTGACCATTAAAGGATAAGTTTCCACTGTCCTCCTACTGACTACTGTACACTGGACAATACACCAGGAAGACATTTATTTAGGA